GCTGGGCTGTATCCACTGGCTTCCTGTCGGTGGGCGTGGTATGTTCAGGAAGTTCAGCAATCCCCACATCCATGTGTGTTTCTATGGGCGCGAGAACAGCACTGTCCCCTATCTCCACTGGGTCGGGATGAGTCTCAATACGCGCCTGTGCTGTATGTTCGGTAGGCATTTCAGCCACCACCCCGACTGGGCTCCATGGGGAGCTTGCGGGTAGCTCATGCGGCATTTCGCGGGAATCTAGCAACGGAACTGTTGGTGATGCGGCCGACAGAGGCTCGGCAACAGCAGCAGGCGGTGTCGTCTCAATGCTCGGCTTGGCCGCTGTTAAATCGCCAGCAAACGGGGTGCTGTGGACCACGAGCGGTGTGGTAGATTCGCTTTGTATGGGTGATACCTTGGAGCTCAAACGGGATGGTTGGCTGTCCTCTGACTTGACCTTTGCAATTTCGTCCTCATTGCGCTTCCCCTTCTCAGGAGGTTTTGCACCAGCGTCCACTCGGTCATCTTCTTCGCCCAGCGGGCTCACGTCACTGTACGCACCAGGCCCAAGAAACATGAAGCTCTCGGGTTGGTAGTAGAACTCGCCGCCGTTGTCGTCATCATCGGTAGGACTCAGTTGTTGCTTCCCCGCACCATCCCGAGAGGGCTTGGTCCCAGAGACTAAGCCTCCACCCGATGGTCCAGCCGTCGCGCGCATCAACGACTTTCCGGGTCCCTTTTCGTTATTCTCGGGGGGCTCCGTCTTCCGTTTGACCTGCTGCTGGCTCTCGAGCTTCTCCTCCGGTGCCAGGTCGGGTGCGGGCGCGTAGGCGTCGACAAAGTCGGGAAACTCGTCGCCATCTTGGGGAAAGTGAAACTGGATCTGGCCCGTGGGTTTGTAGCGATAGAACCAGCGGCTCCCGTTGTAGTCGGATTCCCAGCCTGACGGGAGACCGGACATGTTGCTCAGAAAATGTCGTCAAGCCGCCGCACCGGCACGATTGAAAATGTCGGGAAGTAAAACGCGGTCGCAGTGCTGGGAAGCCCGCGCGTCAGCATGAGTCGCGACGTAATGCATGGATCCTGATCCTACCAGAACATCCAAGTCGCTCAGCACTTTCTTGGTGGACCTGCGCTCGAAGTCGTCGGCATGGCAGCTCGTCGGACTGCTATTGAGTTACAATAGGTAGGAAGGGGAATGGATCTCTCAGGAGGCAGCTAAGGTTCTCGCCTGTCAGGTCGGAAAGCCTGGCGGCAGGGCATCCTTACCGACATGATGGCTTCACTAGGTCGGGCGCCTCGCCTGCTTCCTGTGGTGCGGCTGAGGCGGGTGCCTCATTGCTGTGCTGTGTTGGTTGGGGGCCGTCGACGGGAAAAGCCCAATAGCCCAAGACCTTAGCTTGATGGACCCTGGCTCTCTCCCTCTAGCGAGGGGTTACGGGCCTTGGCAGGTGGAGCGGAAGATCTCCGGCCCCTCGTAAGGCAGAGATGACACCTACCAAGCTTAACACCACACTCCATGATCTTCCGACCCTCAACGCCTTGATGGACGTGGCTTGTTAGTCAACATCCCGCACTCCTTTAAATCCTCTTGTGACAGGTGGACTTGGCGCAAAAGAAGAGTATCGTTCAGCTTACCAGGGTATTACCGGATGAAATTCTTGGAAGCTTACTCTTTCTGCCTCCATCAGCTCTGACTTGAGGCGCGACCTATCTCGATGTTCGTCATATCAGACCAGCAAACTTGAAAGAGGCCTTTCTTCAGTCAAGTTTTTCACGACAAAGTCCCCTCATCAGTCTCATACTGTCATCTGACGGAATGAGGGTTTCGGGGCGTGACAGCTTCGCCCATGCAAGTAGTTACGAGGTGCCTAATGCACGTCGGAAATGGGTATGTTCATCGCTATACTAGCAACCTTGATGGTATGGTATGAAAGCTCGGCATCCACTCTTGAGCCGTGAGAATCAAGTCAGAGGGTATAAATGCTGTCATGCGCAGGCGCGCCTTGGGCTCGTCATTTCGTTTCCTGCCCAACCTTAACATCAATTCATCCTCCTGAGTCCATGCCAGGGATCTTTTCAACCCAGACATATTGCCATTTTGCTCTTTTTACAACACAACGAGGTTCGGTATCACAATTGCGCGGGCTGCGGCCTCGGCCCGGACTGTCAGCAGCACACCTCAGCTGATGGCGCGCCCATCAACCTGACGTCCAGTGCCTTGGTCTTCACAGCTCTCCGAACGCAATGCTGTAAATACAGGTAATAGTGACTGGGCATGGAGGAAT